TCTTCATATTCTGCTCTGTATACTCTGTAGTTTTGTGACTTACCTCCTCTTCCAAAAATTTTTTACCTGGATGGGAGGCAGTAGGCAAAAAGTTTGTAGGCAGATAATGCCAAGTAATACAGGTCTCCTGAATTCTTTTCAGATGGTCCAAGCTTTCACCCACGCACAAGCCACCTTGGAGGCCGATAAAGGAGGCAAGTTTCATTTGCTGGATGGCAGTGTCACAGGAGAGTTTGTTGACCTAGTAAGTACTAACCAGTGCAGGTGTTATCTTGTTAAGAGGCAGCCTTTTTGAGGTATCGGTTCTGTAGCAATGCTTCTGTCAGCTAACTGTGGAGTTCCACCTGGTGCCCAGTAGTTGTCTGTAACTTCTGTGGCCTTTGAATCTTTCCTGATAGCATGGATTAATATATGGGATTTCAGTCTGGGAGAAAATCTGCCTACCAGTCATAGATCTGCCCTGCCTTGGTGTGATTTTACTTATTTATTAGGGGTTGGAGGAGTGTTAAAGATAGTTTAAGATAGACCATTTTCCTCTTTGGCCCAACTGCCACTAAAGACTTCTGCACAGGGGCCCTGTCTCGGTGTTTGCAGCTGTACTGTGGCCTACCTTTCTAGAAGGCAATTGAAAAGGACACTTAAAGTCTTTTTCCCCTCTGTCTTTATGTGTTTCTCAAGAGGTCTCTAGGACTTCATATCTACACAGTTCCAGTTGTTTTCTATTAGACTGCAAGACTTGCAAAAAATTACTACTCAGTCTTTCTCTCTCTTGTCAAGGTTCCTGAGAAGCAACTTGTTATGAAATGGAGATTTAAATCTTGGCCAGCTGGTAAGTAGTCGAAAAATGGACTATGGTGTTAACTGCCCTTGCCTGTGTTGGAAGAATTCCAGCCCCGTTTGCCACACTGTATTCTGGCTCATGATCAGGGAGCACACGGTGTTCTGGGAGCTGCACCAGTGTTATCCCACCTTCCTATACCAGACTGTCATGTCTGAATCATCAGCCACTGTTTGGAGCAGTGACCAGGGCTTAGGTGGGATGAAGTGGCAGCTTGCTCAGCTGTAGCTGCAACTGCTTTGAACCCCATGAAGAGGGAGCCCTCTCCTCCCTGTGTTTCTAGGGAAGGCCTGCAGCTGTCATAAGTAGATCTTCTGGGAAGGATCCTGAAGAGTCTTTTAAATGCAGCTCCTTGGGGCTGTCTACACTGTACTGCACACTGCTGACAGATTTGCTTTGGTTCCTCTAGGGCACTTTGCAACCATTACCTTGAACTTCCATGACAAAGGTGGTGAGACAGAGGTGTGCTTGGAAGGCAAGGGCATTCCTGCCAGTGAGGAGGAAAGAACAAAGCAAGGCTGGCAGCGCTACTACTTCGAGGGCATAAAACAGACATTTGGCTATGGCGCCCGCTTGTTTTAATACCGGTTGCTGGGAGGCTCTGCCTGAAGACTCTGCCACATGGACTGATGAATTTCTCGCCTGTTTGTTTCTAATCTTGGCCCTGCCGCTGAGTAAAGTGGGATGACAGGTGATGAGGAAGGCTATTGAGCAGCACCACTTTCAGTCCCTCACTGCTTTGTGCATGTCTCGTGCTGCAGGGGATTCTCTTACATGTACATACTTCTATTGCTAAATAAACCTAACTTAAAAAAACTGCGGAATTTGTGTCCTCAGATCGGCTTGAGTTCAAAGGGTCGGTTGATAGGCTGAGGGAGGGATCTGTCTGGAAAAACACCGATCAATGAGGAGTGCTGATGCCAATGTGATTTACTCCTTGCTTCTGGGGGAGTAGAGATCATGAGCTTGATGCAGTTTTTAGTTTTGAGCAGCTGCTCATTTTCTCTCTGCTTTTGATCTGCCGCTAGTAAATGTTTCAAACCCTTCCCATTTCTGAAGGGATTTGTAATCCTGTTCAAGTTGTTCCTCTCCTCCTTTGCACATCCCCTTTTTCAGCACAGTCCTTTCTTACAGTTCCAGTAGTCTGCTCTACAAGAATGACTATCCTTTAGCCATCGGATGTCCAAGACAATCAGCAAAGCACTGCTAGGGAAACTCCCGCCCACGGAATGGTTCTAGCAGGTTGTGGGGCCCAGGGTCAGCTACCTCCAAGTGCTTCAGGCCAAAGCAAACTATTTTACAGGAATAAATCCCACCCCCTATTTAGAGTACAGAGTGCAGTACTTCTGGCTCATCCCATTTAAGTGGTTGCTTTAACACCGCTTGCATATCCTCTCCTGCTAATACTGTTTGTTCCTGGAGATGTCTTCTAAGGCAATAAACTTGTTTATAGGAGAGGGAGGAAAAATCTAACTCTGATCAGAAGTGTCAATCTGCTTAACCTCAAGGGTGACAGAAGTGCTTGGTTTTCTTTTTGAGGCATAAGCTTCTCTTGCATACTTTGTTTTCCACTAGTGTTTTCTGCAGAACTCCCCTACTAAGCTAGAAGGAAGCAATGTTACTGGGTGAGAGGTACTGTTTGGGGGATCTTTAAAATTTTTCTTTCATTTTTTAAAATCTGAATGGCATATGGTGACTGCGAGGAGACAGAAAACTTCAAAGCTTGTTTCAAAAGACCTGAATGTAGTACTTTGAGTTGCCTTTTAAACTAAAGAGAGCATTTTACCTGTTCTGCTCATTGTTCCAAAGTGCTCAAGTGTGAAAAATTCATGATAAAAGTGTGTACAGTCAGATATCAAGCGTGCAGTATGGAACTAAATTCTGGATGGTGTAACTCATCCCTGTGAGCTGACCTGCAACAGCAGAGGAGTTGTACAAAGTCCAGGCACCTGTAGATACAGTAGAGCTTCCCTGTGTCTTGCAGAGCTGTCTTCCCTCAGCACGACCTGGCTGGGAAAAGGGACACAGGTGTTTTGCCAGGAATTTTGTGCACAGATGAACTATTGTACACATCTGGTAGGCTGCGAGACTGTAGCATGATACAGGCACACTGATGTTACTGCACAGCATGCATTTTTGGTTTCCTGTTTGGGAAATCCTGGGCAGGAACATGGGAAATCTTAAAACAGCAGGGCTAGCAAGGGAGTTCACAGCCAAAAACTTTGGCAGGAGAAGAGCAAAATTATTTGAAAACTGGAAAAACGAGCTCATTCTAAGTTGAGGCAAACCCGACAGCTGAGTCGCGATGTCCTGGCTGTGCTTCGGCAGCTGTGCTGTGGGAGCAGCGCTCACCTGCTGCAGGCTCTGCTGGCACAGCTGGGCCAGGGCAGCAGAAGGCAAGCCCCGCTAATCACCTGCTGCTGGAAGGTTAGGAAGTGGGACAGGAAGGCAACTGAAGTGGAATTTTAATTGCCTTCCTTTCATCACAAGCAGGGTTTGCTTTGGGCATCCTGCTGCTACTCTAATAGGACACGCTTTGGCCTCAGCCAGCAACCCACATTCACGGGGCTCATGGACTCAGGGCTGCTTGGAGGCTGTTTGAGGGTTCTTCCAGCAAAGCTGACTGCCCTGAGTTATGCTGGTGCTGCCCCAGCTGGCTCCCTGCTCTGTGGGCTGGAAATCACCATTCTCACAGCAGCAGAACAGGCTGTGTAATGTGGCCATGCCTTGGCTGCTGTTCACATGTGCACCTCTTGGACTCGCCCGCTGGCAAAGGAAAGCCTGTGCTAAAAGGGCGGGCTGTGTGCTCGTGCACTGAGCGTGCCATGACGTGCCAGCCCTGTCGGGCACAGCAGCGGTAATTAGGGCCTTACACCGCTTCAGCCGTTTCCTTGGCAGAGGAGATCTGAGCCTCAAGTCACGCCAGTGAAGGTCCCTGCATGACATCTGCCTGCTGCCAGCAGAGACACGCTCCTTCAGCTACAGCTGACATCTGGTGCAGCTCTACGATGCTAATGAGAAACCCCAGACCTTTGCTTTACTTGGAAGTGTCAGGAGAGCCAGACAGAGTTTTCAGCCCTTCAGCTATATGGAGAAGGGAGGGGTGTGTAGAAGATGAGGGAGAAAAGCAAGGTCCAGTATACCCTGGCCCACAGGCTCTTTAAGACTGAACTAACACAGGATAAGAGGGAAGGTCTTATGAATTAAAGAAAATGAAAGTTAAAAAACAGAAAACAGAGATAAAGTATGAATTTTTCACAGTGATGAGAGGTCAGAGGTGGATGCTTACTGGCTATGCCTTTATGACGCACACAGAGGAGGTAAGTAAGGAGTTAACCATCAAACAACAAACTAAAGGGGTCTCTGGACACATTTAGTGAATTTTGGAATTTCTTGCAAATGGTGATTTGGTCCCACTAAAAGTTTTCATGGATTCAGAACCAGAGTGGAAGAAAATCTTACAAGAATAAAACAACCAAGGGCTATTAAAAAGCAAAACCTTCTCATTTAGCTCAGAAACCCTCTTGGCCACCAGCTGCTGGCAAACAAGGAAAGTACTTCAGGGAGATAGTGTGCTTGTCCTTCTCTTTTCCTTCATAGTCACTCACTGCTGTCAGAAACTGAATGTGGGTTTAGATGGAGCTGTGCTATGACTCGGCCCTTCCTCATGTATTTTGATCACTTATATGTGTGAAACTTCTATGGGAAAACTGGGCCACAAATCAGAAACTGAGAGCCTCCAGCCTAAGTAACAATTAAAACTGCTTTGAAACATCATCCCAACCCTACTTCAATGGCAAAATGGGAAGAACTTAAATAAGATGGTTTTTTAAAGCAAAAGTGAAAATAGTGGGATGTTTCCAGTATTACAGGGCCTGACAAAGTATCTTAAGAAACTCACTTGGGAAAGTTGAACAACCTTTCAGAATTCAATGAGGAGTGGGACTGGGAAGAGGGAGGGAGGGAGGAAAAAAGTAAAAGAGGTGAGGGCCAAGAGAACTAGATCAATCTGTAACATCAATTAATTAAAAAAATACAAGTGCAGTCAGTAACCTATAAAATACCTGACTAATCAGTGAAAAAGTAACAACCAACACACCTATATCATGGCTACATCAAGCACAACTCATATCAAGTCAACTTAATGATTTTCTTTGGCAGAGTATCTGGGTTTTATTAAGATTTTAGGTAACACTTTATATACTATTTTTATTAGTAAATAAGGGAAGGCCTAATAAAGATGTAATGAATGCAGTACATTTCAGTATAGATAATTGGTAACTTAAAAGTAAAAAAAAAAAATTACATCATCACTGGAAGACAAGTTTAGGGTCCAGAATTATCTTGACCAAGTGGAAAAGTGCAGCCAGCAAGGCTACAGCTGAAAAATTACAGCACGTGTGATTTTTTTTCCTTTTAATCTTCTGCTCAAGGTAAGTTGGCAGCTGTGTGCCACCAGCACACCCAGCCCAGAAGGCTACTGTAGCCACACAGTGGGGTGTGTCCCTTCGCAGACCAGAACAGGGGTGTCTGAAATGTTTGTCTCCAGAACTTCAGTTTTAATTCAAGGTCCACAGACCATCACAATTACACTTTGCTCTTGCCTAGGTTAAGGCCAGGCCTTGGAGTTCAGGTCTGCTCCACAGGCTTTGGCCAAACTCTCCTTGCATTATCATCCTCTGCTCTCTCATTCCAAAGCAGCTCCTTCTGAGCCCAGTTGGGGTTTTTTTGTGTGCTTTCCAAGAAGCAGATTACTGGAGCAGGAGCCCTGAGAAAGAGCAGACAGGTAACAGAATATTTGTTGCTGTAATGAAATCTCACAGTCATCCCTGAGAGATGGGCAGCATTCACCCCACCTGTGCCCCAGCAAAATCTGGGCGTGGCTCACTGTGTGTGCAGAGAAACTCATCTTCAAGTCAGATGCCAGTGAACTGGTGCAGCTGAGCCACACCGAGCTCCAGTCCAGGCTGGCAGACTAAGACAATGTTGATGGCCAGCAATGATGCTGGTTTCATGTTCAAGGCAGTGGGCAAAAGTGCAGCCTGAGACTCTGCCACAGACTCACTCTGTGATTTCAGGTGACATCTCCAGGTCTTCAGCACCTGCTTAGTGCAGAAATTCTTCCTGCTTCTATTCTATGGCGGTGGGAATTTCTATAGCCCAGGAGTTCTGCCACAGGGCTCAGCATCCAGCACCTTGTTGCATAGGATAAAGGCATGTTAAAAGGCATGTTAGGCATGTAACTGCTGACTGCCCCTCCAAAGAAAGAGTGATTTTGTCTGAGCAGCTTGGGCTCCATGCAACGATGTTTTGGATGTTGCAGAAGACCCACAGGAAGCTCAGAGCATCCTTCACTGAGAGGACTTCTCTGCTGCGCCCAGGCAGAGGCCAGCAATGGTGCCAGGCAGCTGTGGAGCAGAGTCCCGTGCTGGAGCAGCAGATAACCCTTGACAGATGTGCAGACAGCACAAAGCAAAAGGAGCAACAGAGAAGGAGGGAAAACAGCTGGAAACAGCAAGATCTTGGAAGCGGTCATGATTTATGCAGCAAATTAACAGCAACAAGAAGTTGTGATCCCTGGAAAGCTTTGCAAATCCCCCTGCTATAATTAGCTGTTGGCTCTGGAGGTGGTTTGCCAAACCAGTTTTCCAGCTGGGATGATGCTGGGTTTTATTTTCTCCCTGCTTCCATGCTCAATACCTGCCTAAAGCAGTGTGCTGGTGTAACATCAGCCAGTACCCAACTCTGGCCAAGCTCACCATGGAATAAAACCTGGGGCACGTTTGCTTTTCAGCACTGACCCTGATGGTCTCGTAGGAGGCTTCCTTCCCTGTAAGTAGAACTTCACATATCCCATGGCTGTAGTGGTGGGCTCCAGATAGTCTTTGTTACCTGTGATTTTTGCAGCCAGACATCACTAAATGTAAATCCTAAGGAAAGGAATCTAAGCCATAAGGGCCTCAACTGGGACTAGGAACCCCAGACGTAGTGTTCAACATAGTGTCATCCCTCTCAACCAAAATAAATAGCAACATATGCTCCAGTTCCAACTGGATGACACCAGCATGACATTTATATATATATATATATATATATGAATGTGTGTGTATATATATAAAGTGCTTTATCAGAATAAAGAATTCTTCTCTATGAAATTTTGTAGGAATAAAAGACATTTTATATATACTATATATAAAATACCCACAATAAACCCAAGGAGTAAAACCTTAGAAATTCATCACTTAAACAGCAGTGAGCTGGACAGAATCTTCGATGGGATATAAAAATAAACGCTTGCTTAATGTCTGCTTTCCTCACAGTGCTCTGCAAAGCCTCCCGGTGTGTAAGGTGCTTGTATGAGGAACAACACTGCTTCTTGTTTCTTATGCTCCAGTTCACACCTATATTGTCCAAACCATAGAGGCAGTGAAGCAGAACAGCTACTTGGCTCTCAACTACCTTTTGTGGGGGAGGCGGGGAGTGGGGGGGTGTCAATGCAAGGAATTTTTCTACTTGCCCTTGGACAGGAACTGCAGTTATTACAGAAATCATAGTTTCTTTTCTGGGGGTTACACTGGTTGACATAGCCAGTATAAAGGGGAGGAAGGTGCAAAGCCTGACTAACAGGCCTTACTGTAAGAGCACTTTCTTAGAGAGTTGCCAGTCTAACAAATAAATTGTCTGAGCTTTTGCAAGTCTCCTTCAAGAAAGGCTGTTTGCAGAAGTCCTGCTTCCATGCATGGGTCCAATACCAAACACTAGGCACATTCAACAGGAGGCTGTTTTAAAGAAGTCAGCACTGATGGTAAATAAACTCCGAGAGTCTGATGATGTTAATGATGACATATGGTAAGGGAGAGGAAATATGAAGATGCTGTGCTGAATGACAGAAGATAACAAGCTCACCCTTCCATGGCCTTGTCTGCTCAATTTGTTTGCTTCCCATACAAAAGCCTCCATGTCTCTTGACGAGGCTCTCTGAACACATCCCAGGCTCCCAGAACCAAGCCACCAGATCACTGCCACCCCCTCCTGACCACCTCTTTATGACCTACCTCTTTAGCAGAAACTAGCGAGTGAATGACCATTTTGACTAGGAACATGAAATGATCATGAAAATTTTCCAGGGTCTATGTCTCCATCCATGCTTATTTGGTTGTCTTCCTTCTTACCACTTACATAACACTTGTCATCTCAAACTGCATACCTATGGGGAAAATGACGATGCCTGCCTATGTTTTGACAGAACCCACAGCCAGAGTCTAGGGATACAAGTGTGGAATAACAGTTAAATAAGAATAATTCAGTGACAACTTCATTAATAGTTTTACCAGCTAGGAACCCCTTTTTCCCTAGGAACCAGCTAGGAAGTCTTAGATACTGATGACCAAAGACACAATATTCTATCAGTAACCAAGACAAAAGGATCAACATACATTCAACATATATAAAGATGCTCCCAGAAAGACTCCCCGGATTGCTTTCAGACCATGGATATTCACTGATGCTGGAGAAAACTGCAAGAAGGACAGACACAGCACAGGATGGTCAGCCAAGGACCTCTGCAAGCAGACATATTTTTTTGGTCCAACAGTGTCCCGTAGAAATACATGGAGTAGCAAACAGCCTCAGATGAAACTTCTAGTCTAGAAATTACTCCATTCTTCTTTATGTGTGCTTGACTTGCTCTTTTATTTCCTCTGATGCATAAAATTTTCAAAATGAAAGCTGCAAAGTTTCTGCCAGGTTCAACAACTGAATGTCCAGGGATAAAGGTGCTCAGCCCACTTTCTTTGCAGAAAAGCTCACAAAATATGCTGGGACACACTGCCACAGACCTGTGAAAAGCTGAATAAAACCCAGGCAAGACCAAAGTGCACCAGAGAGCATCATGATCCATGATCTGTGGAGACTAGGTATTATTAGCATGTGTGTGTTCCTTCTTTGGAGCCACACTTGCTCGCCTGGCCCGGCAGTGAGCCTGAGAGGCGCAGGGTGTGCTCACACCTCGCTTTCCCTAGGCTGTATCCTGTTGGGCACCTGGGAAGAGACAGCATGGAGCAGGGCCCGTGTCCAGCAGCAGACCAGAGAGGGCAATGCTGGATGCTCCCAGTGGCAGCTGACTTGTTCCTATCCCCATGGAGAGCTTGGCTTGGTGCTTTTTGCTCCTTGCCAGCAATGGCATGTGCAGTGGCCAAGGTGCCTCCTGCCTCTGGCAGGCCTGTGAGTGAGAAACACAGGACTTCCTTCTGGGCTGTGTTATGGGTGCTCCTGAGCACTGAGACCCTCTGGGGGCTGCCAGGGCACCAAGGCCTGGCAGTGGGCTAGTGCTGGGACTTGCACAGGTGCTACCACCCTGCTCCCCCAAGCACCAAGGCAGAGGGGCTGAAATGCACACAGGTGGTGTGTGTCCCCTGTGATGATCTCCTCTGAGGCCCACCCATGTCTAGCTTTGGCAACCAAAACCCCGGCGGCAAGGCAATCTTGCCAAGAGAGCCCAGGCAGCCAGTCTCCTCCTGCCCCACAACCCACCCTGGGCCTATGGACCCTGCTAAGCCTTTCCCTGCTCCTTCCCAACTGTGCATGCACAAACCAGAGGAGCATGCAAATCCTGCTCAGCTGTGCCTCAGCAGCTCCTCAGACAAGGCATGAAGCCAGTAGGAGCTGTGCCTGCTTCACCCTGCCCTCAGCTTTCAGGTTGCATTGAAAGGTCGTAGAGAATAAAAGCGGGCAGGAGCAGCCCCTTCTTCCCTTTACACTTCTGAGCCCTTGCTGCTCCCCATGTGCCAGCCCAGGAGCCCTGGATTACAGGACTGCCCTGGGTGGCACGGCAGGGATTGCACCACAATAACCTCCGGCACCCTCAGAAATCCAAGGGGGGCTGAGGCACCCCTCTGAGGGGAGGAGACAGATGGCGCATCCTCCCCGCTCTGCTTGGCACCACTGAGGAGCCCATGAGCAGGGCCAGGGCTCGCCAGGCTGCGCAGGGGTGCAAGCCAGTGGTGGTTGTGGCTCCTTTGAGAGCGGCTGTGGCTAGTACTCCTTGGCCTCCTGCAGCTGGGAGAGGTACTCCTCCTCGGTGGGGTTGTCCGCACACTGTTGACCATTGTTGGGGGGCCGGACAGCGTGATACCGGCTCCAGTCGCCCTTGCAAAGGATCCAGGGCAGCATGTCCACTTTGTAGTGCAGCTCCGGGGAGAACTCGGTGCTGATGAGGTTGGGGACGCCAGCCCCCTTGCCGCGCGTGATGAGGCGGGTGTGCTCGTCATAGCAGCAGTGCTGGGCAGCCAGGGTGGTGCTGTCCAGGGAGAGCATGGAGCGCAGGCAGAAGCGTGCTGTCGGCTTGTAAATGTCCAGGCGCTCCTTGGGGCCACTGGCATCCCGCCATCGGAAGCTCTTGCCCTGCTGCTCGTCCCGCAGGTTGACGGCACTGTAGACGGCTTCCAATGGGTAGGAGCAGGGGCAGCTGGGCAGGTCCGTCAGCACCTTGCTCAGGTACTTGGTGAGGAAGTCGCTCTTGCAGTTCAGCCACTTCTCACAGCTGTCCACCTCTGGGGGAAGGTACAGAAAGGTGAGGGCATGCACAGTCTGCACTCCACTTTACCCAGTTGCCATTTGCCTGCCACCTTGCCAATACCACCAGTGGAGCCTGCAACCACTAGGAAGGAGCAGTCAGCCTCTTGGGATGAACTGGAGCCAGGCTCCATCCCCAAGGCAGTGACAGAGGGAAGGGGTTTTGTGCGGGGGCCCGGCTGGCAGCACTGCCCCATGGGAGAGGGCACACGGCAGGCTGGCCTCGGCCACTGAACCGTAAAGCAGGACTGTGTTGTACCAGGGCTGTGGGAGCAACTGGGTTTACTAACATGACCACCGAAGCCTGCACATGGTAGTGGTTTGGGTGACTTAAGTCTGGACAGCAGATGTGGGAGCCCTTGGCAGAGCCCTCCCCACCAGCCAGCTATGACCCCCCAGTCACAGCTGAAGCCAGTGCAAAGCAGAAGCAGAGGCTGACCTGAGTTGAACAGCTCTGTGGTGTTGTCACTTTTGAAAGGTGTCTCTTCTGTGGGAAAGACCATTTCCCCTTCTGCACCTTGAGAAAGAAGGAAAAAAAAAACAAAACAAAGAGCCAGGCTGAACACCAAGACAAGTGGTGGGATTCTTCCCTCTGTATGTGCACCAGACACCATCCATTTTCCAGCCCCTCTCCTGCCACTTCTTTGGTGTCATGGCTCTGTCTTTGGAAGGAAGGGCCAGCAGCAAGACTGGATGGATAGACCTGTCTGAGGCTGTGAGATAACATAAATCCCAGTGGATAGAGCCGGCTCTCAGTATGCCTCAGGAGAGAATTTCAAGTGTGAGAGAGGTGCAAGAAGTTACATATCAAGCTGGACTCCAGCTCTACCACCCTTGGGTACCACACAACTGCTTGGGGAGCCATGAAGCCCAATCACAGCCTCTTTATGGAAACAAAGGCCCATGGTCATTAGCCCTGAACACATTAAATATAACTAGTTCTTGAAGCATGAGCACTGCCTGCAGCAGTGGGGGACCAGCCCACATCAGGGTCAGACAGCACCCAAGCACTGGTACGGCCAAGGGCTCACCAGGGCAGTGTGGCAGGTCGCAGGTCCTCGACTCCGTTGCTGTGCAGGCATAACCACAGGACCGGGTCCTCTTCTGGTTCCCACTGCCACAGGTAGTGCTGCAAGGGGACCACAGGCTCCACTCCTCCTCATCTTCATAGTCTGTGCAAGGCAGGGAAGAGGCAGAGAGTGGTGAACCTCAGCAAAGTCCTAGCAGGAGGGGAGCCAACAGCCACCTGGGACCTCCCTCAGCTCCGCACCATCCCCGTACAGGGATGGCGCTGCCTGGGGCACACAGAAGTACCCAGCCATGTGATGCCAAGGGCCAACCCTGCCCTCGTTGCCAACCCCAGGGAAGCAACCCCTGAGCAAAAGCTCTCATTCTCACAGCTTTGCTCCCAGTCATACCAACCCAAACAGGCATCACCGACATCCCCATCCTCACTGAACTTGGCCAATGCGCTGGCCATGACGCTGAAGCATGAGGTATTAGCAAAGGCTGACTGGTTTCAGGGTCATGGCCAAGAAGCTGCAAGAGGGAGCTGCTGTGGTGCCATGGCCTGTCTGCCCACCAGCACTTGCCATGGAGCCCTCTGCAGCTCCTCTCCTGGGGGAATGTCGACGTCTGAGGCAAAGGCTTCTGGCACTGGTGTCATTGCAGGGATCTGAGTAGATGGCAGCAGCACTTGTCATTTAACATTTACAATGTATTTCTCATCTGAGCATGCCTTTGCTAGAGTCCATGCTCCATCTGATTACATGCAAGGGCAGTTCCCACTGGGATTCTAGCACATCTGACTGCTGGCAGCCACAGCTGAGTACTGGCCTTGCTCCTTGGCATTCTTGCTTATTTTTAGGTAGGAGCTGAGCACCAGCGTGCTGTGATCCCTGGTGCAGGGCTGTGGGCCAGGCAGGGCAGGGGAGGGCAGTGCTGGTCTGCAGGGCAGTTGTGCATACCAAGAGAACTCACCGTAATTATATTTTTCCTTAAAGATCCAGTTCTTCTGCCCAGGCCATCGCTGGTCCCAGTTTCCTCCCACTCCACTGAGCATGGACTCCTCCTCCTCATACTCTGCTGTGTAATCTTCCTCCTCATCATCATCCTCTTCTTCTTCCTCCCTGTCCCCTACATCCAGGTTGTCGTCCTCTTCCTCCTCTTCCTCCTCCTCTTCTTCTTCCTCCTCCTCCTCTTCCCCCTCGGCAAGGTCAGTGTATTCCCAGAAGAGGGGCCAGAACAGGTCCTTGTGGGACAACCACTCAGAGGATGTCAGAGACCAGTCATTTCTTGTCTCCTTCAACAAGTCCATCTCCATCTCGGCCTGAGGATCATCCACCACTTCAATGGTCACCTTTAAGGCAGACACGAAGCAAGGCAGTGAGCCAGGGCACAGCCCTGGGACAGACCTACCAGACCACACACTGGTTCCCAACCTGAGAGGCCAGAGACGCTTTGGGCTGCAGGACGATGATGAGCACAAGTGGTCTCACCTCATCCAGAGAGACTGACCAGGGACAGCGTGGGAGACTCGGAGGGCTGGTCGTCACCCACAGGGGCCAACGCCACCCTGAGAAATTGAGAGGTCACCCACGTAGGAGTGTTTGCTCCTGCTCTGCCAAGAGGAGCTGGGGGGGGCCAGGGAAAAGGGTGTGAGCAAATTCTTCTGGCAAGGAGCTTCTCCATGCCAGCTATCTGCAGCTGGCAGCTACCAAGAGAGACAGATGGCAGCAGCCACACAGACCCCATTCACAAGATCTTTCCTCTTAGGGAACCAAATGAGGCTGGAGAGCACATGCAGCACTCACCCACGTTCCCCCCATGGTCCTCCTAGACCCACTTCCCACCTGAATGTTGGGGTTCTGGGCACTCAGGTCCACATTGGCCAGCCCTGGCAAGCTCTGCAGGTCCAGCATGAAGGGCAGGCTCTCCTCCTGGCCAGCACTGCTGGGCTGGGGCACTGCTGGGCTCCTGGCAGCTTGCTGAGCCACCCCCCGACGCCTGTGCCGCCGCGGGCCAGCCTGCCCACTCCGCCTGAGCCCCTGCGCCTTGCCCGATGGTGGCAGCTCCTCATCCCCTGCCGAACGAGGACTGGATGAGGCAGAGACCTGGAGAGGGAAGAGGCAGTGAGAATATCTCTGGAGGGTGGCAGTGCAGGGCAGGGAGCAAACTGCTAACCAGCAAAGGGGGTCTAGTCTGCTGCACCAAGTGGTTCTTCCACCCTATCTGCAGCATCAGGGTGGCAGTTAACATGTTAATCAATCAAGTTAATATCCATTGTCCTCTGCTGTGCTAGGATTCAGCCCCACTGCACCTGAACCTACAGGTCTATTCAGGCTAGTGCTTTCCATACCCACAACCACCCTCTCTGCACCCCTCTCTGCTGTCCCATTACCCATTTTGCCTGGCTTTCCACTTCTTGCTCTCCCTTTCTTGCTTGGTCCCTGGAGATGGGTAAGCAGCACAGGCTGCTTCTGGTCACAGAGTTACCAGAGGTCATGTTTAATAATTTTATATATTTATATAAAAAGTTTATAACAAGGGCTTTATGACAAGGGGGAAAACCTCATCAAAATAAATTGTTCTGTGGTGTTAGTATTAGGGCAGACAACTTGAAGCAACACAGGTTTAACTGAGATTTCACATGCTGCCCACAGGCTACCACAAGGAGGGAAAGAAACTGCTGGTAGATATAACCCAGCTACCTCTAGGTCCTTGAGAAAGGGAAGATGCCCAGCTGAACAAGTCAACAAAACTCACTTGCCAGTGCTGCCAATGGCTCTATCTGCTGCTGCCACTGCAGTGGCACATGGCATTTCACAGCCAGCCTTGTCCCAGGAGGAGCAGGGAGAGTGGGCAGGGAGTCTTGCCGGGCAGGCAGCACCAGTCAGAAGGGTGGGGCGGGGGGGAGGGAGGCAGGGAGGCGGCCAGCGCGTGCTGCCAAATAACTGGGCTCACACCGAGTTCCCACGTTCCTTGTCCCTGCACTCGGTGCACACTGGCATGAAAGAGTGTGAGTCAAAGGGCCAGCAGGCTCCAGTGTGCCTGAGTAACCGGAGATGGGAACAACTGGCAAACCCCTCTGTGGCACAGGTGTCCTTGGGAAGATCTGCTGGGCCCCATAGCTCAAGGCTGGGAGCTGAGGTGCCCAAACCCCCAGCATCTCTGCCAGAGGATGCCTATTGCTGGCTGCCCAGCTGAAACCCCCTTTTGTTTCCAAGCTCTTGCCCTTCACACCATTCCGGTCAAGAGCCACGGGATTAACGAAGAAGAGTGCGGAGTGCCCCCTCCCCATGGGGTGGAGGGGGGGGATGCAGAGAGGCATTTCTACCTGCAATTAGAGCCAGATGGTTTGGGGAAGGACTCCCCTTCCTTTCATCCTGATCACTGGAGCACTTCAAAGGCAGCTGGAGCCTGGCCAGACTCTCATGAGTGCACACAGCCTGTCCCCAGCCCTGTGCCCATACATCAAAGCCCATGATCCCTCCATTCCCGGGGGAGGGAAAAGAGCAGCAGGGATGCTGCTGGTCCCTTGGCTGCTGCCCAGAGCAAGCTGAAGGCAGAGAAGGGCCAGTGACAGACTTCGCCAGATGGGCCCTGAGGAGAGAGGGCTGCACAGAAGAGTCTGCCTGTGCTGGCTGGTGAGAGCATTTGGGGCTTGCTCCCTCTCCCTGGCCAGGAAGGCTCCTGTGGCACTGCTGGCAGCAAACATGAGCACAGACACATGCCTCTGCCTACACCTTCCCCTCCCAGCTCCCTCAAAACCACAACAGCTTTGGGAAGGGCGCATGGGAAGGATGTCTGGTTCTGTCTCAGCCCATCTCCCGGTGCCTTAGCCCCTTCCTAGGTCTCCTGTCACACACAGGGTCTCCTTGGTAGGGACCAAGGCAGAGCCCAGGTGGAACATAAACAGCAAGGGGGGTTGAGCAGGCAAAGCTGGCCGTGTCCTAGCACTGGCTGCACAATACTGCCTGACAGTGCTGGGTTTGCTGCCAGCTGCCCAACACAACCCTGCACAAGAGACTGACAACAGCCCTGCGAGCCTGGCGTTCCTGTCTAATTTGCAATGAGCTTATTGGGCTGGGTAAGCTCATTTCACAGACAACCAGGAAAGTGAGGTCTCCTCTAGCAACAAGATCCGAGCTCACCCAAGGACATCAGACCAAGCCAGCCAGGAACAGACTCCAAGTCTCCAAATTTACACTCAGTGCCTAATTCACATTTTACGCCCAAACAAGCTCAAGAAATTCAGAGTACTGTTCCCACAGGGAAAATGTAAAACTGCTCCAGGGAAACTGGCTGTGAGTGTGTTGCAGGGTGAACAGAGCTCCCTCAATGCCCAAACACTCCAGAGGCATAAGGACACTGAGAGTGCCTGCCCTGGATGGCCCAGAGTCCATCAGCAATGGTCATTGCACTGTACCACCCAACACTTCCCTCCTGTTGATATCTGCATTGTTCTGAAGCTTTGCTGGGTTAAAATTTGTCCCTACATCAGATGTCCCTCCTGAGCAAGGTTCTGCTCCGTGCCCTGCCCCAGCCAATCAAGCCGTGGATTTAACAAGCGCTTAGAAGCCCAGTGCTCTCTCCAGGTGAGAGCATCAGATGTGTCCTCTCCATGTCATCAAGGGGCTCCTGACAGCCAAACAAGCAGCTGCCCTCGAGGTTTGCACTCCTGCTGCATGACACCCATTCTCTCCTCTACTCTGTCCAAGGAGCAGCTGGATAAAGCAATGAAGCCTGGAGCTAGGCCACTACAGGGCATCAGCTAAGGGAAGAGAAGACTTTGCTTGTCCAGAGCGAACACTCTACTTCTCCGCTCTCCATGAAGCACAGGAGAAAGTCTGCAAACCATTGCCCAGCTGGTCATCACCAGCTCCCTTCTCCTTCCACCACCAGGGAAGAACACTTGCCACCACCCCCCAGAAGCTGAGCGCAGTGCTGGAAAGCCATCACTGTCTCACAGCTGAGCTCCAGCCTTCTCCTGCAACTAGCCTTCTCCTGCAACCAAGCAAAAGAAAAGTCAAGGAAGGAATTGCCACAGATACTCCTGCATACACTTGGCATATCCTGCTTTGCTGGGAATAAGGCTCCCCAGGGCAGGACCTGAGAGAAACTCTGGGGCAGCACTCAGGAAAGAGCATGGGCTTTCCATTTCTGAAGACCATGTTTTGACCGCAGGCTATAAGCAGGATCACACCCTTCTACCTACCAGCCCAGGAGCTCTTCCCATCTAGTCCAGGCTCTCCCACATGTAGGACTGACCACCTAAACACTTTGGGGTGTTTGGAAAATAAGCACCTTGGGTGCTTATTAAAAAATATGTTTGGAAGGGGAAGGAGCTCATTAGAAATTCACCCCAGTGTCATGCCTACTTTGTACATAACACAGGCAACAAGGTGTGTGGAAAAAGGCCACACATCATTGCTCTAGAGACTAAAGGCTGACATTTTTCCATTTCTAGTCCATACGTCTCTATTAAAATTGCTCGAAAATCTGGAGGTGGTGAAGAGAGCAGCCACAAAACCATTTCGAGGGATGGAAAGAGTTTTCCAGTGAAAGATCTGTATAATTTAATTTGTTTGTCATATTAAAAAAAGGAAGCAATGACTTGATTTTCCAGTTCTTTATGAGAATAATCCATCAGGCACCAGAGACTCTATAATCCAGAACAGAAACACATAATAGGAAGCAACGTGCCCAAGTCAAAGCCAGACAAATTTAACTGAGGAATAAGGATCATGCTCTAAGTGCCATAGGTGATTAACCACAGGAACAAGCTAAGAAAAGTGACAATTTCTCTTTTGGAGACTGTCAGACTCACATCACTAGGCTCAACATGAGTACCACATCTGTACTAGGGAAGAAATTCAAGGCTCTAATAATTTCATCTGCTCTTAAAATCTGCGATTTTGCTATAAACTTCTCTAAGGCTTTGAACTAAACATGGGTTAAAAAAGCAAATGACCGATGTTCATGTGCTGCAGCTGCTACATAAAAAATTACTAGAGATGTGACAGCTCAGATCCTACAACCTGAAAACATCAACAGACTAGTCCCTGTGCTGTACTGCACTTTGGCAACCAGGGGCCACACTACCTGTGATGTGTGCCACCACAACCACAAGTACGTGTCCCTCTAGCAAGTTCCTCAGCATCTCTGTAGGCGCTGCAAGTTGCCAGTGCACCCACTGTCAGTGCTCTTTGTAACTACACACACCGCTGAGCAAAGCTGCCCCTCCAAGTACGTTTGAGAGAACTCTCCTGGGAGTGAAGCACTGCTGGAGCTTGTGCATCAGCAGCCAGTGGAGCAAGCGAGTCACCAACATAGGACAAGCTCAGAGGATGCAGCTTCCACCCACACCTATCCCAAGCCAATTACGGAGTACATAAACTCACTCAACTTGAACCAAAGAAACCTGTGCACACGGCAGTCAGACCAGAGGCAACATTCAGGCTGTGGTTTGGGCTTGTTAACACTGCAGTGAAGAAAATGACGTATTTGCTAAAGGCCGGTATCACACTGGGCTATAATTATAAGGAATGGGGGCTTTTGTTGCTTAATCATTACTGCTTGTGTTAGGTTTCCTTTGAACAGTTTTACCATGGTATACTGAAACAAGAAACCACCAGAAGAACTATTGATCTTTTCCTGAATAGACCTTCCTACTCTTTCCCCAAGCTCTCTCCAACATTTTAAAATCTGTGCTGCAGTCTGTTGCAAACTTGCCCACTTATGAATTAGTCAAGTACAAATTTTTTATGATTTTTTTTACCATAGAACTTTTCTTTCTATATTCACCTAAATGAGCTGCAAAGATCTGGAGAAAGAAAAAAATATCTTTGGACTGAAACTGGGCAGAAACAACTCCAGAGGAGGATTTTAATGTAAAGTTATACTATAAAGCTATGGCAGTAGAGGGCAGATGGTTGGTTGCTTTAGAAGGAAGTCCAGCATGGGGTTAGCTCGGGCTGTAGTTTGCAGAAAAGCTCATGACGATTTTTGCTGATAGGTTTGGGAGGAAGGGGAGGTTTTTCTAGAGCTAACAAGTAACAACACTGTTGTCTCTTTAAAATAAAGGAAGGTTGAACAGCAAGGCAATCACCAG